CCACAAGGTCCTGCTCGACCACTGGCCTAGATTCATTCACATCTCCAGTTAAACACTACCTCTTTCTCCATGAAGAAGTTCCTGGCAATTCCTGCTCTAGGTGTTTTCTTTTTTCTCTGAACATTTTAAAAAATTGAGGTATACTTGTATGTGGTAAAGTGCAAAAGTCACAAGTGTGGGGTCTATGAATGTTCACATACGTGTGCACCCATATAACAGCACCCAGATCAAGATACAAACACTGCCTGCACTCTGGAAGACTTCTTTCACCTTTCCTGTTAGTGACCCCCAAGAGTAACTGCTGTAGGAAAGGAAAGCAATGTTCCCTCTACCATTCTAGGTTCTGCACTGAGACTCCCCTGTGATAAAAGACAGATTAACAGGAGAAAAACAAACAGATGTTTCAGTTCAGTTCAGTCGCTCAGTTGTGTCTAACTTTTTGTTACCCCATGGACTGCAGCATGCCAGGCTTCCCTGTCCATCACCAACTCCCAGATGTTTAATAACATGTATACCTCCTATATATGTTTCTGAACCAAACTCTGGGTCTGCTCACCCACCACACAGTAAAGCCAATTTACTGACACCGGGTTGTGGTGAAGGCCAGTACAGCTTTTACTGCAGGTGACAAGCAAGGAGTATGCTCAAAAGGGCGGCTCATGCTCAAAAGACCTGAACTTCCCTAAGGCTTTCAGGGAAGGGCTTTTAAGAGAAGGATTGCCTCAAAGGCAGTATTTTAGGGGAGGGCTGCAGGGTGCATGACTTTCTTCTGATTGGTTGGTGATGAGATAACAGACTGATGTTTCTGGCATCTTAATCATCCAATCTGAGGTCTACATGCTTGTGTTCAGCAAGTAGTCACTACCCTTCACCTGGGCAGGGGTATGTGTCTTAGTTCTGCAAAAACTCAAAGATATATGTCAGATTGTTGTGGGTATCCCTTGAGGAGAAACTAGGACTTTGTTTTATTGCTGAACTATTGTCATTATGGGCTTCCCAGGTGGTGCAGTGGTAAAGAACCCGCCTGCCACTGCAGTGTTGTAGCCACGCTTTCCGGGAAACAAACTCACTCAGAAGGACAATGAAGATAGTGGAGTGCAGCTTATTACACCGGTGGGCCCAAGGCAGAGTCTCCTCTTAGCCAAGGACCCCAACCAGTTTTTGTGAAAACCTTATATACCCTAAGTGTACTTGCTCAAACCCACCTCCCCAAATTCCTTGAAACTAGTCTGGACAAGGTAAAAGAGAGATACGATCAAAGTTAACCCATGATTCATGTGTCACAAGACTAGATAAACAGTGGACATTTATCAATAGGACTGTGGTCATATCCTGATAAACATAATGGAATTTACAACTTTGTTCTGTTACAGAGATAATTAGCATATTCTTTTAGGCAACAGAGAGTCCAAGTACAAGTCCTGAGGCTCTTTTATCCAGGGGTCTGGTTTCCCATTGGTATGCCATTTCTATAGACACCAGGCACAAAGTTCAGAGTCCATTGGGAGGGTGACCATGTGTGTAGCCTAATGTTCCAAGCCTGACCTAAGATGGAGTCCAGCTCTGTCTGTTTCCTCCTTCAGCAGGAGATGCTGGAGACATGTGTTCGATCCCTCGGTTGGGAAGATCCCCTGGAGGAGGAAATAGCAACCCATCCCAGTATTCTTGCCTGGAAAATTCCATGGACAGAGGAGGCTGATGAGCTATAGGCCATGGAGTTGCAAAGAGTTGGACATGACTGAGCGACATTACAACACTGTCATTACTCTTCTTGTTTAACTGCTTTCCCTTTGCTTCTGCATTTCCTCATTGAAACTGAGGCCCTCCTGGGTACAAATCGTTTCCATTTCACCTTTTCTTGTTTGTTGGAAAAAAGGTTTCAGCCTCTAGAACTTCCCTGAGTACCAAAGGGCAGGTTAAAACAGTTGCTAATTAGGGAAGCAAGAGAATGAACAAAGGAGGAGCTGTCAAGAAACAATAGCACAGGTCTTGCTTCCTCCTCAAAGTACAAATGTAAAAATATCTGAATTTTTTGAACTCTTCTGTGGGAACTAAGGCCCCAACCTGTGGAGGATAGTAACTTCAGGTTGAGTACAAGATTCCTGGAGCATCACCCTGTTACCTCACCACCAACCAATCAGAAGTAAGCCACAAACTCCACAGCCCTCACCCCAAATTTTGCCTATAAAACTTCTCCCCCAAAATCATCAGGGAGCTGGGTGTTTTGGAGCTTATCCACCTGTTCTCCTTGCTTGGCCCTGCAATAAACCTTTCTCTTTTCCAAACACTGACATTTCAGTTTGTTTGGCCTCAGTGTGTGCTAGGCACAGGAACTTGTTAGTAACTACTTGAGTCTGCTCTTTGGAACTCAGGGAAGGCCTAGGAGATTAAAGAAAGACCTACTTTTTCTACAAGTAAGAAAGGAGCATGCAGAGGGGCTTTTGTACTGGGGAGGGCCTTACAGGGTCCCGCTCAGTTTCAATCCCGTTTCTTTGATACTCCTCAACCCTGAGGGGAACAGGGGCAGGACAAGAAAGGGAATAAGGTTTTGGATAGAGAGGATAATCATAAACTCAGCATGGAAACTCAGTTTTGGGGAAACTTGGTTTTATAGGCAGTAAATGGGAGAGATCCCAGAAAACTGAGTAACTCCCTGAAATGGCATAAGTTACCACCTTAACTATCATCTTATAAAGACAAATGATATTGAGGGTGGAGGGAGCCAGTTATTCAAGATGACCAGGAAAACCACAGTAAACAAGGATAAGATTGTTCTGTAGATTTAACTTGTAGCCTTCTCCATTGATGGTGGCTTCTCCGATGACTTAGCAGGTAAAGAATCTGCCTGCAATGCAGGAGACACAGGAGATGCAGGTTGGATCCCTGGATCTGGAAGATCCCCTGGAGGAGGAAATGACAACCCACTCCAGTATTCTTGCCTGAAAAATCCCATGGACAGAGGAACCCAGTGGGCTACAGTCCAAAGGGTGGCAAAGAATAGAACATGATTGAGCGACTAAACACGCACACACGTCTCCATTGATAAGTGTTACTAGAGATTTGGAGTCATCTTTCTCTTCCTTGTACACCCTTACAAATGGCAGTTTCCCTTACAAATGTAAATATCTCTTACAAAAGCACAAGTTCTCCTATGTCTACTGTTTCTTAAAAATAATTGGCCTAAAATAATCCTTATGCCAACAAGGCATATTTTGGGGTGACAGATTCTGTTCCCCTTCACTACCATGCTGACTTTTCTCCCCACAGATGAGTTCTGCCTGGTGTTGAACTACTGAACTCATTGACTGTGCAACTCACTTAACATATGCAAGATTTTCTGTGGTGGCAGCAGCTCTTACCTGCTTGGTTTGTACTTATACCTCCCTCCTGAATTGTTCTCTAACCTTCCATTTGTTTGCCATGTCTCCCTAGCTAGATTTTAAGCCCCTTGAAGGCAGAGCTTGCCCACAAGTCTAGGATTTTCCCATGCAATAGGCAATACTGTAATAAGAGTTCCAGTAAATATTTGTGGAATGAATGCTAGTGTTGAATGAATGTGGCAGGGGGTGGGGCAGGAAGAAGCAGTAAGCAGATAGTCAGATCAAGACAAAGGCTTCTCTCTTCATTCTCCCCCATACACATGCCATTTATTTTTACTGATAACACTGTATAATATTGGGATTGTGCACTGTTTTTTTGCTTGTGGGCAGTCATGCATGCATTTCACTTTCAGGTTACATCGTGAGTAGGACAGGAGTGGATGCAAAGAATATGAAGTACAGGAGGAGAAAAGGTCAGATGGCCAGGCCAATGAGCAAGCTTGCTCGGGCCTGTGCTGTCGAACCGCAAATGCTAGCCCTCACTTTGCCATGAACTTGTGTGATCTTAGGCAAGTCACCACACCTTTCTGAGCTGCTAGTTGGTGGTATGACAGAGATCATAATTTGACTCTGCATTCCATAGCAGGTCAGCTGAGTTCATAGCTGGGAAAAGTATTTTGGACAAAAAGAATTTAGGGTACTGTCTCAACAGGCAGAAAGGTGGGTAGGATCACCAAGCCAGTTAGATGAGGTTTCTCCCTTAAGAATCAAGCATGACTTGGATGAAAGGTGGCGAGGCTGAGTTCCTAGAATCACAGAATCTTAGAGCCAGCAGGCATCTTAGAAACCATTCTCGGACTTCCCTGATGGTACAGTGGATGTAAATCAGCCTGCCAATGCAGGGGACATTGGGTTTGACCCCCGGTCCAGGAAGATTCCACATGCTGTGGAGCAACTAAAGCCTGTGTGCCACAATTACTGAACCCGAATGCTGCAGCTACTGAAGCTCGTGTGCCGAGTGCCTGTCCTCCATGACAAGAGAAGCCACCACAATGTGAAGATTATGCACTGCAACGAAGAGTAGCCCCCGATCACTGCAACTAGAGAAAATACGCATGCAGCAATGAAGATCCAGAGCAGCCAAAATAAATAAAGCTAAAAAAATAGCCATTCTAGTCCACTCCCCCTCATCTTACCTGAGTACATGGAAGCACAGAGAGATGACTTTCCCCAAGGTCCAGGTTTCCTTTTCACTGCACTTCAAGGTTCTACTTTAAAAACCAAGTTCGTTTGCTTTTCTTACTATTCAGAGACAAGAAGCCAATGGGCTGTGCCCCAGCAAGGAAATGATCAGGACATTTGTTTGAAGCTTTTTGAGTTTCCAAATGTGACCCACTGTTTCAGCTCAATTATTGTTTAGCTTTTATCTATGGGGACAACAGACTTTCCTTCGTGGCTCAGTGGTAAAGAATCCATCTTGACTGCCAACGCAGGTGATGGGGATTCAATCTCTGGGTGGGGAAGAACGCCTGGAGGAGGAAATGGCAACCCACTCCAGTATTCTTGCTGGGAAATCCCATAGACAGAGAGCCTGGCAGGCAATAGTCCATGGGATGGCAAAAGAGACAAAACAACAACAGTAACGGCAACAACACTCTCCTAGTGTCTGCGGAGTGCCTACTATGTTTGCCACGCTGCTAGGTGCTGAGGAGGGTTTAGAAAAGATGAAGACCCATCCCTGCTGTCAAAGATCTGAGTGTGGGAGACAGAACTAACAATGAGAGAACAATGGAAGGCAGTAAGTGATTCAGAATAAAATGAATAGTGCAGGCAATAACTGCTGTTCAAGTTCACAGGAGAGAGAGCGCTCTGGGAGCTGGGTGTTGGGGGTTGGGGAAAGTGCAATTTCACATGGGCTTTGAAGGCGGGATAGGATTGTTTATGCAGATGTGGGGGAGGGCACTGAATGTGTGTCTGCATGGGTGGGGGTAGGGGGCTGCTGCATGAATGCAGAACTACATGGGGATTAGGGATAGCATTTATTGAGCACTTTTTATGCACTGGCTACACAATTCATGTAAATGTGCATAATCCTAGGAATTAGATAATAGATCACTGATAACTGTTTGGTTGAGAGAGGGAAACTGAAGTACAGAGAGGTAAGTTGCCCAAGGTGACACAGCAAGTAAATGGAATAATTATTATTAGTATCCCAGAGTCGTCAAACACTTGGCTATTCTACCTTTGAAAGAGAGGAATTTGTGCCTCAGGCGAGGAAGCTGGCTTGGTACTAAACACAGTCATTTTGCAAACGTAAGACCCTCTAGGCCCACCTCCCAAAATAGTTCCTTATGGATTGGTGGTTTAGTTGATAAATCCTGTCCGACTCTTGCAATCCCAAGGACTGTAACCTGCCAGGCTCCTCTGTCCTGGGATTCTCCAAGCAAGAATACTGGAGTGGGTTGCCATTTCCTTCTCCAGGGCATCTTTCTGTCCCAGGAATTCAACCTGGTCTCCTGCATTTGCAGGCAGATTCTTCACTGACTGGGCTAAAAGGGAAGATTTCTGCATGGATTAATGAAGCCTTTTACTGAGTGCTATCATCTCCTTCTTACTTCCTTGAAGACAGGAACTTGAGGTCTCAGGCTACAGTCATCACCAGAACGCCACAGTTATCCTTGATGTTACTTTGCAGAGGATTTAACAAAACACCGACGGAGAACGAGTGAGCTGCTGAATCAATCCTTGTTTGTTGTTGTTCTTTATTAATTAGCACTTCGAGAGCATCAGGCTCTAAGGTGGATGCTGTCTGTGCAAAGCTTCCTGGCTCTGAGGCCAGGTGGGAGAAAACCAGACTTGGAAAGGATGGCAGGAAAATGGCTGGCAGCCAACACCAGAAAGTGTTTCCCAGGCAAGGTGCCTGTTTTTTTTTTTTTTTTTCCTGGCTATTTTCCTCTTTGTGAGTCTTTAATAGATATTAAACCAACACAAAGTGGATTCTGAAAAGGTCTTTCTCCTGTTTCCTTGCCCAAAGAAAAGAAAATCCCAGTCTATGGGTAGGAAGCAGCAGGGAAGATGGGACCCTGTTTCTGCCAGCAGCCCTTATCCAATTCTTGGGCCCCTCCACAGCCTGGCGGGCCTTTAAGTGGCAGGACTCTCGGCCAAGCGCAGGTTGGAAACAGCTGCTCTGTCGCAGGGCGGGAGGACGGAAAGAGGTCTGGGGAAGCTTCTTTTCCTCCATCTTTTCCTCCAGCTAGAGTACGATTGAGCTTGAAGGCGTGGCAGGAGAAAGGGGAGACGGAGAGCCTGGAGAGGGAGTGGCCGGTGGTTAGATGGAGAAACATGGGAGCAGAGCAGGAGGGGGAACGGCCGGGCAAAGTAGGAAAAGAAGCGTTGTCTAGGACGGAAGTGGAGAGTAGGGCTGTGGCTACAAAGGTGGAGAAGATGCCGTCTTGGCCCTGCCCGAGTCTGCTATTTCAGGGAGGTCTGAAGGAGAGGCGAAGAGGAGTAGGTCACACCCAGCGGACCTCCCAAAGCCCAGCGGCTTATCACTAGACAGGCTCGTCCATTCCCCCAAGAACTCAGCAAGGGCCGGCTAAGCGCCTACTAGGTGCCCGGTGTCCAAGGAAGCGCCCTGGAGAACCAGGGCGCAGGAGGCGGAGTCGGTCCAAACGGCTTCGCGGAGGAGCGAATTCCGTAGTCGGCGGTGCGGAAGGGTGGCGGTGCACGCGTGCTGGCAGGGCGAGCGCAGAACGCGAGGCAGGCCGGGGAGGAGGGGAAGGAGGTGGGGATTGAGCCCGGGGGAGGCCGAGGCGCCGAGAGGGAGAGTGGGAGGTGTGAAGGGTGCCTGCGGCGGCGGGGGGGAGGCCGGAGAGGGGAGGCGACCGGGCGGGGTGGCGAGGGGCTGAGCCAGGCGGGAGCGGGGAGGCGGCGGCGAGGGGGAGGAGAGAGGGAGGGGAAGAAGGAGGAAGCGAGCGCGGCTGCTACAGGGGGAGGAAGACAGGGAGGAGGAGCCGTGCGCGGCGGCCGTGGAGGCCGCCGGGGGAGCCGAGCGCCTGGGCGCGGGGAGCCGAGCCGGCACCCAGTCGGGGCCGAGGGCCGACTGCCGGTGAGTGGAGCCCCGCGGGGCGCGGCGACCCGTCCCTGGGGCCGGGCTTGAGGCGCGGGAAGCTGCGGCGCCGGGGCGGAGGGAGGGGGCCGGCCGGAGCCCAGCCCCCGGCTGGCCCGGCCTCCCACCCGCCTTTCCTCCCTCCCTCCCGGCTTCCTCCCGCCGCTGCCCGCGCGAGGGGGGCAGGTCCCGGGCGGGCCGCGGGCTGGGGGAGGTGCTGCCCGGAGGGCGGGCGTCTGGGGCCGGGGGGTGGAGCTGGGGGCTCGGGGGTGTACCCGGGGGCGGGAGGCTGGACCGGGACGGCTCTAAATTGGCTCGGAGGGGCCCGTCGGCGGCGAAGTTGCTCGCTGGGGGCAGAGACGGCCACGCGGTTGCAGGAGTAAGCGATCCCCCTGTGGCGAGTGCGTGAGACGAGGAGTCCGGCGTCCCCGCCAGCCCCGTCGCCCTCCCCGCCGGCCCGGCCCCGCCAGCTCCCCTCCTGGCCTCCGCGTGTTCCCTCGCCGTCTCCCCCGGTTTGCTCCTGCCGCGTTCCCTCAACCTTCGCCCTGACCCTCCCGGCCTCCGACTTCCCCCGAACCCTGCTTGCTTCGCCACTGCCCCTGTTCCCCTTTTCTTCCCTCGCTAGTTACCCCTCCCCGCCTCGTAATTCCCGATGCAATTGCCTCTTTGAGACCTTTTTTTTTTTTTCCTCTCCTTCCTTTTAGATTGGCCAACGGCTCGTTTCCACCCTGCCTCGTTGGTGGCCACTGGAGAAGCGCAGGGGGCTCCCCAGGCAGCCGTAGGGACAAATTAGAGCCAGCACTTGGCCCCGGGCCTCGCGTGTAGCTTCCCGTCCCCTGCTCTAGTTGCCCCGGTGTCCGGAGGGGGGTGCGGGGGCGGGGGTGTGCCCTCCGTATATGTCCCACCACCCGGGCCACCCTCGGGGCTTGTGTTCCATCTCGCTCTCGCTTCCTGCACGGTGGTCGTGGGGAGCCACTTTGCATCATGTCCCGGTATAGCTACCAAAGTCTCCTGGACTGGCTCTATGGGGGCGTGGACCCCAGCTTTGCGGGCAATGGGGGCCCCGACTGTGCTGCCTTCCTCTCTTGGCAGCAGCGGCTGCTGGAAAGTGTGGTGGTCCTGACCCTGGCCCTGTTGGAGATCCTGGTGGCCCTGCGGCACATCCTGAGGCAGACGAAGGAGGACGGTAGGGGTGGCCGTGGCTGCCAGCCAGAGCAGGTGACCCAGCGGCCAGAGGAAGGCAAAGAGAGCCTGAGCAAGAATCTGCTCTTAGTAGCCTTGTGCCTGACCTTCGGGGTGGAGGTGGGCTTTAAGTTCGCCACCAAGACCGTCATCTACCTGCTCAACCCCTGTCACCTGGTCACCATGATGCATGTGAGTCTGTTGACTTCCCCCACCCCTTCCCGGCAGCCTCAGTCAGCAGAGTCATTTGTGTGCTGAGGACACTTGGCCGTGTAGAGCACCTCACCCCTGCGGGCGGTGGGACCCTTAAAAAAGATTTTCCACCGAGTGGCTGTTTGGGTGCGGATTTCAGATTTGGCTTCCTTCCACCTTTGCACAATACGTCAGCCCTACGGTGGTGGTGAGCCCTGGGAAAGACTAGGACTCAGGCTAGCGGCCCCTCCCCTCCCAGGCCTACCCTGGCCTTTTGCCAGCAGGAAGTCTGACCCCAGCCAGGTTCCCTTTCTGGATCACCAGAGGGGGGCCATGGGCCAACCCCCCCCCCCCATTCCCTCTGCCACAGTTAATTTCCCAGAGGCCTGGTGGCTTTCTTTCCTGGAGCTGGTCACAGAAGGTTCCGGTCTCTACTGTCATACTTGAGGGAAATACTTTTGTAGGTTTCTCTTAATAACTCTTTCTTTTGGGAGTTTAGGGTCTTAGGCTGAGGCCTGCCTTTTGAGTTCTGAGGTGTCAGAGCAGCACCAAACTCCGACTCACTGCACTCTGAAGCAGACCCCAGGCAGACTCGTGAACTCTTCTCTGTCCTTGGTGAGAGGGTATTTATTTCCTGCAAACCTCTCCATCTTATCACTCATTCTCTCTCCTGAGGTCCAGGAGTGCCCAGAGAGCTGATTTCTTTATCTCCCATTAGTGGTGCTAAGAAAAACAAATGAGATTGAAAAGGAAAGTTGCCAGATACATAAAAATAATCTGGGTGAGGACCAACCAAGAGCAAGACTGTCTTTTTGTACTCAGCCTGGGTAGAGAGATGATCTAAAACTATAATATCACGGAAGGGTAGGAAGAGGAGGAGGGGGTGGGGTGGGGGGCTGTCTCTTTTAGATTTCAGGCTGTGGAAAACCTGGTGTGTTTTATTCAGGGACAGTTGTGAAACCTGTCATTAGCATCTTTATTGCTTTTATATTTGTAGAAGGTTGTTCTCAGGAGACTTGTGACAACCTTGTGTGGGGCAGGAGGTTGAGATAATTGTCTTGGTTTCACAGGCCTGGCGGGGGACTCGGGGATGGGAGGTTGCTTGCTTGCAACCAAAAGATGAATTAGCTTTCTGGGTTGGAAAGCTAACCCACCCTCTTTGGGGTTGCGGAATGCAGAGCGGCAGTCTCTGGGAGGCCGATGCTGATCAGCATGGTGCTGCCTACTTATGCTGTGGATGCTTGCTAGCTCTGTGTTGTAGGAACTCCTTGGATGGCAGGTTCTTGGCCTCAGTTTCCCAATCTGGAAACTGTGGTGAATGACCAGAAACCCCTTTCAGTCTTGCAGATGTGGTAAGGAGGTGTAGACAGATTTGGAATAAAGCAGCTCTTAGTGATGGGATGGCTCTAAGCGTCCAGTAGGCTTGGAGTGGGTAGCATTTTTTTAGAGGCCTTCTTGGGAAGTGATGCCATTCACAGGAAACCCAAGGGCTCCCCCAGTTAGACCTTCTGTGTAAATTTGAGCCTGTCTGCTTTCTTTTTTTTTTTTTAAATGAATGGGCTTTTTGTTAATGAAAGGAAACAACGCATCTCAGCCACTGCTATGTGAGGCTCTTGGGACAGGAGTGCTTTTTTTGGATGGCAGGTGGTGAGGGTCAGAGGGTGCCTCATCGACAAAGGGGTCTTGAGGCCTCTGACAACCACATATCTAGAAGGTCAACAAAGAACTAAATTCAGCCCGATTGGGGCTGCTGCTGGGGTGATGACGTCAAACCTGGCAGCACCATGGTTTTCAGTGGAAAGGTTTTTAGAGGCTTTTAGAAGACTCTGGAGGCTTCGTTCTGGCATTAATTAGTTGTGTGACTTTGGGGAAAGTACTTGTCCTGGCTCTCACTTTGGCTGGCTGCAAAACGAGGCAGAGTTGAATTTCTAGGTCTTGACAGTCTATGTGCTGTGCTGCTTTCCTCCATAAGCAGTGCCCGGGGGTGCCACACAGAGCTCTTCTAGAAATGGCTTTTGGTCTCCTCGCTGATTTCAGGTGGTCATGGTTCATCTTCTCACCCTTCTCTTTCGCTCCCTGTGTCTTTCCCGTAAAGTAAACCTGAGAAGGCCGCCCTTAGGGATCCCTATAGATGATGTTGGCCCTCAGGGGCTGAGTGCTGCAGAGAGATGGATGTTTGGGGAACTGTGGACTGATTCCTGTCACTGTGCTTTTGCTGTTGTCCTGTGCTTAGCTGAAACTCTTAAAATTAAGCTAGGTGGTGGGGGCAAAGAACAGTCAGGCTGAGGAATCCTTGAGACCAAGCAGGATTCTACTGCTTTCTTTGCCCTTTACTCCCAAGTTACTGCTTTGTGTCATTTAAATAGAAACCTCTGGCCTACTGGGGGACTTAGCCTTTGATGAATCCAACATGCCATACCTTACCTATGGTCTCATTGGAAGCAGGGACATGCGGATTTTTAAAAGCTGATGTGAATCTTTAAAAGAAATATTACAACAGATGGTTGGAAACAATTCTCTAACTTGGCTACAGTAATGACTAATGATAGTAAGTATGGTTAGTATTTGGGCTTCCCTGGTGGCTCAGACGGTAAAGAATCTGCCTGCAACGCAGGAGATACAGGTTTGATTCCTGGGTCAGGAAGATCCCTTGGAGGAGGGCATGGCAACCGACTCCAGTATTCTTGTGGGAAGGATCCCATGGACAGAGGAGCCTGGGGGGCTACAGTCCATGGGGTTAGTATTAATAATACTTTACATCTGTCTAGCTCTTAACTTTTTAAAAATTTTTTTTCATTTATTTTTATTAGTTGGAGGCTAATTACTTTACAGTATTGTAGTGTTTTTTGTCATACATTGACATGAATCAGCCATGGATTTACATGTATTCCCTTAACTTTTATAAGACCCTTTCACACGCACTATCTTCTTTAGGGTTATGCTGGATAAGCTTGAGCCTGGACATAGAGATGTTAAAACGTATCCTGTGACTGTGTGTGTTCCAAAGGGGAGGTGTTGAGCACAAAGAAATACTTTGGCAAGTGAATTAGCTGAGTTAGGCTATATCATGGCAGTAAATTCTGTGAAGTTCAGGGGTCCTGAAAAGGAAAGGGAGACTTTAGCTGAATTGAAAGCAGGAGCTTAGCAGAGACATTTCTGATGTGTGTCTCTCAACAGGATGACTCAATTATGGCTTTATAGAAGGCCTTGTTCTGCAGAGGCAGTATAAGTTTGTAACAAGGGCAGTATTACTTTCAGCCAGGAAATGGAAGCACTGGAGGGAGAATGACTAGTCTCCTCACCTCCTATTTTTCAGTCTGTAAAATATTTACTCCCAAGGCCTTTGATACACAGACCCTCCTCATAGCCATGCTGCCTTTGGGTGACCGCCAGCTTTAGAAGCACAGGACAGGGTACTTCTTGTGTCCGAGTTCTGTTCTTCAATAATATTCCTGCTGTCAGGTTTCTTTTTAGCCTCTCTGTTATCTCAAGGGCCCTGGAACCTGGGACTGGTAGAGGTTTGTAGGATTAAAGCAGCACCTTGTCACATCTAACTTAAGCCGGGGATGCTTGAGGGTTCGTGGAATCAGCAAGCACCAGGATTAACACACCATTGTTAAACCCCTTGCTGAATATCAGTGGTGTTTACCCATTAACCAAAAAGTATTTCTTCAAGCGTGGCTAGCTAGTCCCCTGTGCATAATATTTTCGTAGGTATGGGTGACACGGAATGAATTTACTGACTGTTTATGCTGTTTATAAAACAAAACAAAATGGAAATCACACTGCCAGCAAGGTACTGGCAGGGGTGGCTTTAGAACCCAGCTGCCAACAGTGGGAATTGGGGCTTTAGCAGGAAGAGATTCTCATAGCTATTTAAGTCCTAAAATCTACAGTTTCTTAGCAGAAGGGTTAAAATGCCAGTTTGACTGATTGTGTCCGTAAAACCTCATGGCCTTTTATCCTTTGCATCTAGTTAGATTGTCTCTGTCTTAGGAACTTAAGGCAAAGATCGAATTTTGGATGTCTTGTCTAATTGTCCACTTTCGGTTGGTTGTGTATATGTCTATGTCAGTATCTCCCAATTGGGCCCTGAACTTAGTGGGACATAGCATATGCCGTTTAACCCTCTGTGTCTCTGTGTATAAGGCACTCTAGATCTCAGCTGGACATTTGCCAAATAATAATTGATGCTATTGACCCCTGAGCACCAAGCCTCTGGTTTTTATCCTTTAATACCAAGTGAGCCCATCCTTATTTTTAACGTTAGCATTGCTATTTTATTTTTCAGCTATTAGAAGGCTGATGTCCACTAAATATGGCTAACCTGCTTTTGTCTCACTGTTTCTTTTCCTACTTCACTCTTTGCTGAAAGCACAGAATGGCACATATTCAGAATGGCCCTGAGCTTTTTGTGACACCTTTTGTTTGTTTTTTTTTTTCCCAATTATTTTTATAAGTTGGAGGCTAATTACTTTGTGACACCTTTTGGAACTCACTGAATGTACATGGATATGTTCTATTTGCTCTGTGATGGATTTGTTTTAGAGAAAACCTGATAGATTTGAGAACTAGGCCTTTTTGTCCCCTGCCTCCTTGACTTCACACCAACCACACCTCTTCATCCCCATCTGTTGTCTGGAGCACTGATAACTGCCCTGGTTGCAGTTGATGTTGGTGGGTAATGGGTGCAATGAGGGATCCAGCCATCTGCTGGCTTATCAGATGGATTGTGTCCTGTGTCATCAGTCCAGGGGGACACAAGGGGGTGATGTTTATATGGGCCTCAGCAGCGAGGCATGACATTCCTTTTTAGTTTGTTTTATATTCTCCCCCAAGGAAATTTGCAGAGAATTTTTCCATCTTTCATTGTTACAGTCTTTGGCAGGGTCCCTTCCATTATAAGGGAAGTGGTGTGGATTGGTGGATTAAACAACCCACAGACAGCCCTGGGATTTAAAATGATGATACCAGTTTTGCTTGTCGCCTGGTAGGGAACC